AGGATCTTCCCTCGACATTAACTTTATCTTCATTAGTAAACAGTGTAGCAGTATAGGTAAGAAACAGTAATAAGCTTAAAGTTCTAACCCTTAAAGAATTTACAACAACCAATTAAGCCCATGTTATTATAATAAAATATCAGTATATGTTTATTACAAGATTATAAAGGCAACAAGATTAGATTTTGATGGATAATTACAAGCCAGCAAAAAGTATAGAGATGAGAGAAATAAGGGATAAATGAGAACAAAGAAAAAGACAAGAATGGAAAAAGCAGGGAGCCACATAGATACAGATAATAAAAGCACAGGACTTAGAGTTACATGATGTGGGTTTAAGTGAAGTGCGTTTAAGTCTGTCAATATCTGGGAGGATGAGGTGGGACTAGGCTGAGATTACAGCTCCCAAATCGCAATCATTTGAAGTGACAAAGCTCTTTCCTTCATCTCTAATCCCCACAGTGTTTTAGTCACCCTGGGCTTACAGATGCTTTGGATGACCAGGCAGCCACCGCCACATACTGCTTGTTGACCTGTAGGAAAAAAGAGCTCTGAAAGATTTTACAGGTGTTCAGAAATTTTTATCATAATACATTTCTATGCCATTTCTGTTCTCAACTGATCAGCCAAACCTAGATACCCGACCTTATCCAACAATGAAGGGACAGAGACGTGTGAGTTTACCGTCCTGTCACGTGACCACCATGTGGGAAAACAAGAAATGCATGGCACTCAGGCCAGATTCCTGCAGAGAGTACCAACTTTGTAGTCTGCATTACGGTATTCAAAGACTATATTTCTAAGTCCTCCTGCTTAACGTACCTTCTGTATATTAAACAATTACTTAACAACTGTAAATGGCAGTTAAACAATTACTTAAACTATAATTTTTTAAATTATAAAATCATGATAAAAGTATATCATGATTATATCATGATATAGATAAATAGTATCTTTATAAATCTATAAAGATACTATTTAACTAAAGAATTTAATGTATAGAATAAAACTAACAGAGTATCTGCTCTAAAGAAATTAATGCCTGGTGACGTTGTTAAGTTTGGGATACCCTGTTTTGAACACGTCAATTTTATACATAGCTCAAAATTTGAGAGACTTCAGGAAACTTTCACATAAATGCACAAAGCATTCAATAGTTGCTGTGCTATGCTTGACAGCCAGATTACTCTCTACAAATCTGTTATTAGAGCCATTATTATTGTTTGCTAATGAATGCTCCCTGGGAGGTTGGCCAAAGCCATCAAAAGACATTCATTTCAGAAATAGATCTGAAGACTTCTTGGATTTGTTCACAGAGGAGCAAGAGAAATAACCTGAAATAACATCAGGTGATTCTTGAGGCCAATGGTCTATCGCTTTGCCATCAATGTTATCTTTGCCTCCATCTCTTGCCTAACTCTGCTTTTCCCTGCCTCTTACTGACTTCATTAATTCTGGCAATTTCTCTGTCCTGACCTTGATAAAGTTGCTTGACATCTCCAAGTTTTAAAAATGTCACTTGAATGACTCAGAATATTTCCTGCCTCCCAGAACTATTACATGACAATCAATGTATGTCAAAGAATTGAGCATGATGTAACTTTACAGTTTTTAAACTAAAGTAGCAATGAAAAAAACAACACTTTGGGGATTTAGATTCACTGACTGGACTTTTTGATTCTTCAGTGCTAATGAATTGCTTCATATGGTGTTCCATAAGTGCTGTTGAAGAAATGCACTTAGGTAACACACACGATCAGATCCCTCAGATATGTATTTGTGTACTATAAGTTAGATTCCTATAATTACCATGAAAAAATAATTATCCACTTTTATTATAAGACAAACTAGATAAATTTGAACATTTTTATATACATGTAGTTTCAAAGGATAGAAATATGTATGCACATGTTTGTAAATATACTCTAAATTCTCAAAATGTGATCCATTATCATTTGGCACATAAATTTCTGAAAAAATGAGATATATGAAAATACATGTATATGTATGTGTATATATATATATATGTTTAGATTCAAAACACTAATAGTTTTCTAGAGAAAATATAAACATGGCTAATCAGGAATGAAGACATTGAGCATAGTATTTTTTTAAATTTTTATTTAAAAAGAAAAACAAAACAAAACAGAAAAAGGGTAGAAATAATACATAATTTCAAAAAAACAGTAAGAAATCCCTAGTTGATAAATTACATATTGTCCTCTTAGAAATAGGTGTTCATAGTATTTTATTTTATACTTTTCTAGCCAGTAACTAAATATTATTGAATCCTAACATCAATGGAAAATACTCTTATCCATCTTCTCAATCTTACGAAACTGTCTTATATATTTCTAACTTTTGCAATTTCACTAAAAATATGGTTTTAAAACAAAAAATTATTAAAAATTTTGAGGTATTGTTCTATTAATTTTATCCTGATGATAGAAAAGAAAACTTTCTTCAACTTGCTACATAACTGGAAATATACATATTCATTTTCAGCCCTAAAATAGTAATTAGGTGAAGGTAGTCACTCCACATATTTACCAATTATTTACCACTTGCCAAATGCTGATTTAGCTAAAGGGGCAAGATGAATAGTACCTTGTATCCCAAAGGAAGAAAAATCCAATAAACTAATATGTGAATTATACACGGTCACAAACAGTAATGAGTTTTGTTGAAGGAAAATCACAGAAAAAGAAGAGACAGGAAAAGTTCATGGCTGATCAATTTTCAATCACAGTTTGAGAAGTCCTCACCAAGAAAGTAGCACAGAACTCAATGAAGATGGAAAAGGTGACAAAATGATGACCAGAAATTCCTGTGAAGGTAACAGTAACTGATACAAACAAAAATAAAGCCTATAATGTAATCTCTAATGTCTCACAGAAAGAAAGTTGGTTTTGGAGGATCTAGGAGAAGCTGATGATGAGTGGATGGTTATCCTATGATGTGGTGACGGGCAGGTACTTGGATTTGGAACAAGCCATGGTCCCTGTACATTCTAGTTTAATCTTCTCTATCTATCTAGCTCGCTAACTCTTTCTTTCTCTCATACATATCTGATTTCAAGATACATAACTCAAAGCAGACAAATAGCACAGAATAAACATTCACTGGATATGCAACATTATGAACTAATATCTTGTATTAGCAATGTAATTATAGGAACATCCAAAACTGAGTAACTCTTTAAATTTTGGATTGGGAAAAAACTGATTATTATTTCATAAAGTAGATGACAGTATACACACCTGAGAGACAGTAAAATAGGGCCAATTTTCAATTGCATATATCCAAACTAGGAACCAAAAAATCTTCCACAAAGTAGACCCCCTTACTTCAAGGGAGTTATGTTCCTAGAGCACCTGAAAACTGTCAAAACTCACAAATTTCAAATATGGTTAGAAAAATGCCTATTTTTATAGTTTAAACCCTAAATATTTTATATTGACAGCTGTTTACTGCTGTTATTTAATTTAATAAAATACTATACTAATAAAATCCTAGAAGGTGCAGAACGTTCTGGTGGCATCTCAGGGATCTTAGGGCTTTAAGTAGAACAAAACAGGATAGCAAAACTCAGGATAGCAACATGGCACAGCGCCCTGTTATGCAGAAATGCTGGTGCATCTGCCAGGGGGTTACAGTGGCTAACCCTAAGGGCAGCAGCCAACAGCAGTAAGAACTGAATGATGCTCTCAAGTTGGCTACCTGCAAATCTATCTCGAAAAAACTAACTGCGAAGGACATTTGTGACTCCACAAAATTGCAGTGGTTTTCAAGAACAGTTATTAATTAGGCTGTGAAGAAAAATCCGCAAAGACTGAGCTATGAAGTCTGAACCATCCATGACTTTGCGGGGTTATACTGCACTTTCACCTGACTACATTTTTACAGAGACTCATGCTCCTAAAGGAAACATTCACATTTTAGGTACTTTTTCTTTCTCTGCTTATCAGACTTATCCTTCATATTTTGGCTAGCTAGTTAATATATTTAATAAATGTGTAGATCCAAAAAACTAATAATCTAAGACTGTAATCTCTGAAATGAATGTACATAAGTATCTTCTTCATAAGATTGTTTTGAAAGTTAAACATAATCAGATGTTTAAGAATCTAACCTAGTGTCAAATAAAAATCCCAATAAAGTTTACGAAAAACTTCAATGAAAATGTAAGCAATGTAAATGCCAATATTACGTACTAAATATAAGAAAGAAAGTTAGTATTCATTTATTTCACTCACCTTTAAATACAAGTAGCATAAGCAATTTTACAAATTAACAACATTTTCTTCTATAATCAGCATGTCATTTCTTGCACTATCCATAAAAATATAATTGTATTATTAACTTTAAGCTAATAAAATGTTTCTTTTGTATATTTTTGGTTATGATCTATTGTCAAAGTGAAAGCATTACTGCAATGTATTGTAAGTGCTTACATTATTTACGCGACTAAATATCTACTTTATACTTGAAGTTGTTTAGCATGAAGTATTTGCCCAACTTATAAGTTTATTTTCAAATTAGGTTACTTAAAATCATGTTTATGATGAAGTAAAAAAATTAATAATTTGTATGAAATCCAATTTTTGGCTAGAGTACATAAGGATATAGATGTATTTTATCTTTACAGAAAATTCTAGAATATTTTTAGTTTGAAATATACTAAAATTTATGTGTAAATTAGAGTTATCTGTCGGGTGAGGTCTTAACCTTTTTATTTTGTAAGTCTATTTCTATTGCTTCGTGCAGACCTTGAAGATATATTTTGTGACCCATTTTCACTCTCCCTTAATAAGTATTTAATTCCAAAATGGTAAATTTATAAATTTTCTATATTCCTTGTTTTAAAATGTGATTTTTTTATAAAATGAAAATCGCTACAAGCCTCCTAAAATAAATCCTTAAGTAATAATGATTTGACAACTAACAACTTAAATCTTAATTGGTAGAAACTACAGGCAGATTCAGAATGTGGACTGTACCTTGTGTCGCAATCGTGTTAGAGGCTGATAGAACTTAAGGCCATGTACTGCTTCTTTCATTGGCCTTCCTTCTGAATCCAGAAGAATGAATCCAAGAACTAGAATGGCTGACCAACTCGGAAACATCTTTATAGACTTTCACCTGTCAAAATTAAGAAATATATTAAAATAGTCAATCATATATAAACCTGTAGCTCTAATTGAAATTTTGCTAGTGCTTGCCAGCTGAATGTATATAAGTAATCACCTTTAAATAAAGATTAACCCTTTGATTATACCAAACACTATTTATTTTTATTCAGATTATAGTTATTAATTTTGCTGCTATAAATATCGGTATGCATGTATGGTTGTAATATGATATCTTTAGCTCTTTAAAAGAAACCTAGAAAGCCAATAGTTGGGTCATATGCAATTTCTACTTTTAGTTCTTTGAGAAATCTCCATACTGAACATTTTTTTTCAAATATTTATCTGCTGTTTCTATTTCTTTACTTCAGAAGTATCTCTTCATTTTAAATGCCCATTTTTGGATTGAATCTTAAATTTAGTGACTTATTGGAATGGTCTGATTTTTTTAAGTGCTTTATATTATCCAGATACTGGTATTTTATATGAGGAATGCCTGATAAAAGACTGTTCTCATTATGTGTGTTTTTTCTTTACTCTGTTGGTGGTTTCTTTTGCTGTACAATAGTTTTTTTAATATGTGATCACAGTTGTTGATTCTTTGTAATATTCCGTGTGTGACAAGGGCTGAATCATGATATATAAACTTTTCATGATTTGCTGAATTTTGTTTCCCAGTATCTTGTTGAAGATTTTTGCATCTATGTTCATTAAAGAGATTGGCCTCAATTTCTATCTTTTGTTGGGTCCATCTCTAGTTTGATATCAGGGCAATTCTTGCCTCTAGTAATGACTTTGGGAGTATTACTTCACTTTCATTCACTTTAAAAAGTTGGAGACATAGTGGCATTAGATCTTTCTAAAGTTCTTGTAGAATTCACTCATGAATCCATTAGGACCTTGATTTTTCTTTGTTCGTAGATTTTTTTAATTGCTTCAATTTCATTTACTGATATTGGATTTTCCAGCATTTTTATATCATCTTGAGTTATCTTTGGTAATTTATATGTAAGTAGAAATCTATCCATTTCTTCTGAATTTCCTATCTTATTTAAGAACAGATGATAGAGACCTTTACAAACTGGCTGAGAGCAGGCTTTCAAAACCAACTGGAGGTCTGTCTTTAGATCATTATTTTTAGTTTACTTACTAGCTTGATGTTCACATTTCAGAAGCAACTCTTCACAGTACACACACCCTTAAAGGAAGACATACTAGATTTTTGTTCATCTATTTACCCAAGGCAGTGATATAGGAGACATCACTGTTGTTTTCCTCTCCTTTACCCTTCATGCTAAGCCAGCCACTATGTTCTGTTAGATGCAACTTCAAAATCTGTCCTCCCAAAATTCATTCTCCTCAAATTGGCTATGTTCTATCCCAGCTCATTAGCATACTACTTCCAACCTCAGCTGCTGCATGCTGTCCTTCACACTTGTGTACAAACATCATAAATTCATTCTCCCCACAAGAGCTTCAATGATGAGCATGTCAAAGTACATATTCTCACGGATCCTTAAGGTTAAATCAACTACGTGCTTTTCTTGGCACCAGATTATGTACCTGTCTTCACCACACTTCGTGAATATAGGAATTTGGCCATTTTTATTTATTTGTTTATTATTCATTGTTTCATCATGATATCTCTTGAGTCTGGCACCTATTAGACACTCAACAAACAAATGCATCAATAAATGTCATCCTGCTTTCAAGGGAAATGTAACTTTGCAGTTGATCATGTGCAATGCAATCTCTATGTGCATTATTGCAACACAGCATATAAAAACCCAGAAAATTAAATATTTTCGCTGGCAACCCATCTCTTGTTTCTTTTATGCAAAGAGATTTTATGCAAATCTTTCTCTCAGAGTAAGTATTTTTATAAGACAACTGAATGGAATATTTTCAATGCAAGATATAACACAGTAATAAAGCAAAAAGAAATAGTTCAGGTGAAGAGATGGTCTTCATAGGGCTCTGAATACTTAAATTTTTCTCTCCTCAACCAAGAGAGGAGAGACTGAAACAACTCATCTTGACTGGGTCATAGATGAGGTCATACAGGTCACTTAAGGTTTCTTTTTCTCTGTCCTATCTGCCTTCTATTCTTTGCTGCTTCTTTTCTCCATTATGTGGGTGTATACACATATACGCATATATTTCACATAGCTACAAATATTTCATCCACCATAAAATATTAAGCAAATTAATAACTGTTAAATTTGAATAGGTACCAAAGATATCAGTAACTTTTGGTGAGAAAATTTCCACACATTAATAATTAGAACATTCTCCTTAATATTTGCTGTGTTGAAAGACAGTAAGCTAAAGATACCTCCCTGAAATTTTACTTCAAATTGAAAACAAAAAAATTGTCACCATCTACATAATTATGTTTCCCTGAATACATTTTACCATGCGGGCCTCATGAGATTATAATGGAAATGAAGGATTTCTGTTACCTAATGATGTCATAGCAGTCTTATTGTGGCAGCAAAACCCATGACACATGTATTTGTCCCACTGCTCAAGGAAAAGCCTACTGTGCTGTATTATGCCAAAGAACAGTACATATAAGTATGTACACTAAATAATATTTGATAATGACACATAACATGGTTTGGTTTATGTACTTGCTACACTTTATACTCTTACAAAGAACAGAGTTGACGATAAAATAAATACAGGAAGATCCTTTTTCCTATACCACAAGAAGGCCTGTTGGAGGTGATAGCTCCAGGGTTGGCATGGCCACTTACAATCTTGCAGCGGGACAAGATGTGGATGTGATGGTGATAATCCTGATCCTATATGGGCGTAGGCTAGAATGTGTACTTCTGTGAGTCCTCAACAAAGAAAAGTGTCACAAGTAAAAATAAAAGTTAAAAAATGTAGTATAGAAAAAGATTACATTGATTTAAAGAAAAAAATCTATATACCTGCCCAATTTGGGCTTTTGGGAGAGTGTTATTGTAAAAATGATACACAAAAGTAAATAAATTAACAAAATAAAAATGTATTGTGCTCAGTTTTGTTACTATTAAAGAAAAAGTTAAATGTAATACATGTATTTCATGTAGTGTGCAGAGTTTGTAAAGTGTGCAGTGTGTGTGAATTCCCCTACCTTCACATTCCTTATCCAGCCACCCACGGACTAATCATCAGCAAATCTCAGTCCTGCAGGTTAACACCAAATGCCCCATGCAGGGGCACCATTTTCTCTTTTATCTATATTTCCACGGTACCTTTTCTATGCTCAGGTATTTTTAGATACATAAATGCTTACCACTGTGCTTACAATTGGCTATAATGTTCAAATCCAGTAACATGCTGCAGGGTTTCATATCCTGGGAGCTATAAATTCTATCACAAAACCTATGTGTGTAGTGAGCTGTATTATCTGGTCTTACATAAATATACTATATGATGGTCACACAGGGACAAAGTCATCTATCAATGCAATTGTCAGACTTCATCCCCGTCACTATATGATGCATGATATATACAACCCATTTATATTATTTGAATCTAAAGTTTATACTATCAACTGTGATTAATTTTTTCATGTTAGTCCTATGATTTTCAAGTCTAAAACTGTCTGGCAACCTGAAGTTATATAAAAATAATATATGCTTGGTCTCAGAAAAAATTATCAAACTGACTCTATTTACAGTTTGAGTTGTTCACATAAAATTCCTAACAGAAATAGAATTAAAAGACAATGTTCTTCCTTAAAGAGAACTTGATTTATATTATAGATAGGCACTTGTGGTCAGCGATGTAGAGGAATAGCTGAAAGATAAGACAAAGGACCAAGATTAGTTCTGTGTTTGTCATTTGTGAACATGTACCTTGCAATATATTGTTCATTGAAATATTTTTTAAGATAAATAGTTGAATAGAAATCTGAACAAAATGATAGCTTCTGTTTATGGTGCTTATATAATCAGGTAATTACTTTCTTCTTTCTCTGCTGCCATAGGATGGAAGGATGTCATTATTACATCTTTAAAAGCTAACTCATTCACATAAGGTATTCCGGAAATTGTTTGCAAATGAGCAGTAACCGATTCCATGATACACTGACTTGTGATTTCATTTTCTTAGTATGTAGCCTCTGACCACCTGCTGGGTTTCATAATTAATTGACATCTTGTTGACAGCTCTCTGAGAACACTGGAAAGCATGTGCATAAGACAAGCCACCTGGAACATACGGTGCAAAAATGATCCTCAGATCTCAGGTTGTAACTTCCATTTTCTTAGAACAGCCAGATAAAAAACTCATTTAAGTTAGAGGAGAGAAACATGTGTATGTACCTACAAAGAATCTGTCTAAATTTAGACTTTAACGTGTCAGAATTTAAAATGGAGAGTGGGTGGACAGAGCTTTCTCTTCTTCAAATACTGATCAAAGGATTTTCTGTTTGCTTGTTTCCTCTCCTGTATAACATGGATGGTGCTTGCACTGGCAGGAGCCAGAGTGGTTACATTATTGAGTAGATTCACGTTTGTGAGGTTTAGATGTTTACATATTCTCAGAAATCTCTCTTCTGATCACATGGTAAAGAAAGAAGGGCTGTGGAAGTACTATCTTAAGAATAAAATGCAGCATTTCAGATGATCAAGGAAATGAGGCTGGCATAACTACAAATGAAAAAGTACCAAGGGGAAGAGAAATCCTCAACATCACCAAATGTTTCAGAGAGGTCAAAAATCCTGAAGGTTCATCCTAATGTGTGCTCAACAATCACTTGTTCCATTCAGGAAAGTTTCTAACTCTCTCCTGGAAAACTATGGCAGATTTTTAATGGACATTTCCAAGCCCTTCTTTTGTCAGGCCTTTCCTAAAAGTGCTACATAGGCTTTGCTGACCTCTTTGGTAATTTTTACAACTTTTCTTAATGTGACATTGCCTATATCACTGTGATTATCAAATTTACAAGGTCTCACATTCTTACCAAGGCATAGAGGAAAGTGCACTATGCTGGTACAGCTACAAGTTTCTTAATAT